GCAGATAGCAATTCCACACACAGATTTCTGGACTAAACCTGTTTGACCAGCTGAGTCTTAAAGCAGCTATGGTAATACAAGAAGAAGTAAGGCTGGTTCTAAACAAAATTGGAAGTACAAAACTTTCTAAGCATACAGTTCAGGAAATTTAAAAGAATGGATGCATTTGGAATTTGAGAAAAGTAAGAAGATAGAAAAAAAAGAGTGATTTATAAGGAAAAGGGAGAGGGCAGAAAAAGAGTGCAACTGTTGCTAAAGCTCATATTGAAAAATGACCATAGTGTTCAGCAGTTATAAGTTTCTTGTTCTATTTCCATACTTAAACCATCTTAATGGCAATGATTCTATGTATTTTAACTTAGATATTTACCCCATGACATGCTGGTGAGGGTAAAATTTGGTTAGTGGCCTACTTTTAGCTGTTTCACTATTCTTGATGTATACTTACTGTTTTCTCTGTGTCTGTCTGTCTCCCTCTCTCTCACTCTCTCTCCCTCTCCCTCCCCGCCACCCTCCCCCCCACCTTATTTCTGAACTAGCTTCTTTAGTTGGCTCAGGCTGTTTCCACCTGTAAGGTCAGAGTCAAAGACTGCATTCTAAAAAAGTAAATCTGACAACTAGTGTGGCAGATTTATCTAAGTTAATTTTCTCAGATGTTCTAGTATCCTAAGCAATTTAGAGAAATGGGAGCATAGATAAATCTCATTTGCACATCATTTGCAGCTCTTAAAATTTCTCTACAAGTGCACTAATTGCGTCCTTGTACTTGAATCAGGTTTTGACCAATCAATATTTTCATGACCATTGTGAGATGTGCCATTAGTAAATGTCTCAGTACTAAGCAAATACCATTGCAAGTAAATACAATGAGAAGTTAATTTAGGCAAGATAGAGGGAATTGCAGTACAGTTTCATAGACTGTGATAAAATTTGTATTATCTGTCTTAGTCTACAGAATCTTTTGAGTTTGAGTGAGACATGGAGCTAATTCTTCAAGTTTTTTAAAATGGAATTTAGTAGGAATCCTCCTACTCCTAGTAAGTGTATCATTTGATATCTATTTTGCCTTATATTTATTCATATTGGTCCCTAAAAATTAAAAACAAATGAATAAAAACATATACTGCTTTATCTGAAGTTACAGATCAATCAGAGCATAAGGGTTTCACATTTCTCAGTAATTATAAAATTTGTGATTCTTGTAGCAATATTTCTTCTAATGCTTCTTCTTCTCCCTCCATAATTTATAAATGCTGAATTAGATTCATAAGATAATAGAGATCAGCATATAAATCTGTGTCTTCATCATTATCAGAAAGATTTCAGATTTGTGCATAGTGCTTATTCCTGCTTATATCAGTTTTCAGCAACATAACCTCTTTTGGGCTGAGGTCATCGTTACAAAAGTACTTTAAGGAGCTGCTCATATGTTTATTGCTCTAATCATCACAATAGATTTTAGTACTGTACTATTTAAAAAGAAGACATCCTTTTAATTGGAATTCATTTATATGCTAGCTGTATCTTCAAGATATTTTGGCGCTGGAATATTATTTTTAAACCATTAATTTTTGTTCTTGTTTCCTATATCAGCAGTACAGAGTAAGAAACGTGTGTAGAATGGACATGGGCAGGGGCGGCGCTTGCACTCAACAGATGTATCTTAATCACTTTGTGACCTCCTCCTACCTGAGATTTAATTCAACCATGCAGCTCCAACGATGACTTTGCACTCTCAGAGATTTTATCTATAGTGCAGCTGATAAGAATTTAGAGATCTGCTTTATTTTATACAGAAAATGATAAGGGAACAGGATAGAAACAGCAAACTCACGTTCCTTCAGAATAGTGACATCTGCTGGGCTATACAGCTCACAGTAATTTCAAAGCTAAGAACCTGCTCGTTTTTTATGGGGGTCGAAGATCAAGAATCTGGTGCATTGTGGTGAGAATAAATAATTTCCAGCTAAACATCAATCTGCTGTAGTGTTTAAAGCTTACTGAAAAGTAGCACTAAAAAACAAAACAAAACAAAACTGTAGAGATCCAGAGTTGCAAAACTCTTGGCATAATTGAACAGTCTTTCCATCAAACTCTGTAAAATCAAGTTTGGTGAGCATGGGTGCGCGGGGGCGGGGGGGGTGCTGGATATGAGTCAATGAGGAGCGATCAACAGACGACTCCTCTCCAGACATTAAAGAAAAACGCCTAAGGAAACAGTAACCCCGAGAAGGATAACTTCAGCGACAGGAAAGTCGCTTTATCTCAATCGTTTTTTTTTTTGGGGGGGGGGGGGGACGGAATGCTGCGGGGAAAGGACCAGACTCGTGCCCTTTCAAATCCGCCTCTCTTTGCCTTAAAAGGATGCGAGCGATCTTTCTCTGGCTCAACTCTGCTTTGCACTTTTGATATTTACGGCCAAGCGAAGCCGGTGCAAGTCTTCCAAGAACTGCCGGTAACAACAACAACAAAACCTTGCAAGTTGTTCCAAGCGCGGAGGCGTGCAGCGGGTCCCCCCCCCCCCCCATCCCCCCCCTCCTCGCCTGCCGCGGCACGCAGTGGCCCCGGCAGGGCAGCGCGCCCCGAGGTCCGCCCTGGGCGGCTCCCGCGGGGGGCACCCGCTCGGGGTGGGGCGTCGGCGCGGGTGGCTGGCCGTGGGCGCGCAGGGCCGCGGGAGACGCGCGCCGCGTTGCTGTAACCCGACACCGCGCGCCGGCCCCCGCGCCCGAGCGCTCCCCATTCACCGCGCCGGGTGATTGAGCGCGGCGGAGAAGGGCTCCGGGTGCCGCGGCGCCGCCGGCAGAGGATTCCTTTACAAAAAGGGTCGGGAGGACCGCGCTGGGAGCGTTCTCCCCCGGGGGCGCTCTTGAAACTCTGATTTTTCTTTTTCCTTTTTTTTTTTTTTTTTCCCCCTTGGGCTCCGGGGCTTAAGACACTCTCGGATCCCAGCCCAGAACCAATTGCCGACTTTGCTGAGCTGGTCCCCACCTCGGTAAGCTGAACACCTTCTGGTCCGCGAACGTGGGATGGTTCAAGGAGGCCAGCCAGAACTTTCGGGCGGGTAGCTGGAGTGACTTTTCACACGTCACCCGTGCCCCAGTCTGCGCGTTTTCTTAAGAGCACAGGTCGTGTGTCCGGGACGTGTTCCCCTGGCGGAGAGCCCGGCCCGAGTCGTTTCTTGAGGTTGGGACACCTGCAGAGGGTGGGACTGAGGGGGTTGCGGTCCTTTCAGAGGCTGAGTCGCTGGAGAGGACGCAGAAGTTCTTTCTCTTATGTGTGGTCAGTGTCCGGACCGATGTGCAGACAGACGATCAGCAGCAGGTCTTAGTCTGGGGGTTGAAAGGAACCGGGTCTAAAATCCAGGCACGTGGGGGTGGCAAGTGCAAGGCACTTGGCTTTCGGTCACTTCTCATTTCTGGGACAGCTTAAATGTATTATCCTGTACGCTTGCTTCCTTTAACCTGTCAATTTCATCTCCCTTATTCTTTGCAATTTGGGACATTCGTCCTATTTGAAGAGACCTATCAGAGAAGATACGGGTCATAGCAGTATGGAAAAGTGTAAATTGTATCAGCCTGCGTTATAAAAAGACAGGGGTTAGACATTTTTATAGCCTTTTATTTGGAAGTGGGGGGTGGACCTTTAAATTATTAAGCCAGCAAAACAAGAGAGAAATTACTAAGTGAAAGGCACCCATAAAATCAATTTTCTTCTAAGTTAATTTAGGGATGACAAGGTGAAGAGGTTGTGGAAGCAGGAAGGAACTGTTTCTTTTGAAAATTACCAAAACAAACATGTTTAGGGTTTCATCCATCTGTGTGGTAAAAGAGTCATACAGTGGTACTTTTAACTCTCATCACTAACATCTACCAAATGAATTTAACATACTTGTATAAAATGACGGTGTTGAATTTTTCTTTGTATACTGCATCAAAGAGGTTGTTATTTTCAATTGTTAGTGGATTTATTGAATAGACAGTGTTAACATATTTAGAAGCCATATACTATTGAAGGTCAACATTGTTGTAACCAGCTGAAACAAAATTCTAGATTAAACTCCTTTCATTGTATATTTATGCAGTCACATGATGATGAGATTTCTTTTATGGTCCTGGATTTATTTTGCATATTGTGACCAATAGAGAGCGATTGGGTTATACTTAAACTTTGCCTAATCTTCTTTGCACTTCAAACAGTTAACAGCACGTATCAATTTTTATATCTACAGATTGAAACTGTAATACTTGTCTCTGATTTATCTTTTGAAATTTTGACAGCCCACTTTAACTTTGATTTATTTAATAATGCAGTGAGAGATACATGGTTCTCTGGATTGCTCACCACTAGGTCATTGGTTAGAACTTGGCATGAGTCCATGGTTACCTCATCTACATCATTTAGTGGCTGCATTATAATCTGTATAAATTGGCAGAAAATTGATTTGAGTGGTTTTAGTGATCAAGGATTGAACACATGTAGATTTACATGTAATGGTACCACTTACAGACTATTTGTCAAAAAAAAAAAGCTAAGACATACAGAAATAAGTACACATGAATGTTCATGTGGGGTTTTATGCCTCTCAGTGAATAAAGATAAGTTTTCATTCATAAATATCTATTGCTACTATTCTCTAGCCATATCAATGTAATGTAATTTTAAAAGAGAATATCAAATTGAGACTTCTTTTGAAAATCAGTGATTTTTTTTCTGTTTCATTTAGCTGTAATACATTATTTTGCCAGAAGATGAAACAGTTTCTCTTTAGCAAAAATTTCCAGGCACAGTGACTCATCTGAATTTCCACCTCTAAGAAGCAAAGTCACAGCACCTCCTATTGTTTGCATGACTGTAAGAATTCAGATTTGTCTTATGAATAGGGTGCTCTGTTTCGATTGCTCTGTGTGTGTGTGTGTGTGTGCGTGCATGCGTTTGTGTGTGTGTGTGTTCCTAATGTGTACAATGAAATATAATAAACTTGTTGTTTCTCTTTAAAAGGTATTTCTTCTTGGATACTAACTTGTAAATCTGAAGAATGGCATTCCGGGCAATATCTGTGTTGGTTGGAGTATTTGTTTGTTCCATCTGTGTAAAAGGATCCTCTCAGCCCCAAGCAAGAGTCTATTTAACATTTGATGGTAAGAGAATTGAAAAAAGTCTGGGGAAAATACTCTTAAAATGTTGTAAATAGATTTTAAAATAATTAAATTTAGTAAAATTCTATTTAAAAATATTTAGTGGGTTGCATTTGTGTGACATGTTAGTGGTTAATAGAGAAAAGTTCTTTATTATATTTATTTATGAAAATACTTGAAGCATACCTTCTCATTTTAAAAAGATTTCTTCAGTGTTTGCATGTGAATTCAGGGAAGATGTTGAAAATCTCAAGGAATAAAATTTTCATTTTTTATATGAATACATTTTTGTTGAGAACCACCTGTGTGTGCTGTTCTTAGCAGAACAGTTTACATAGCTTAATTACTAAAAACGATCGTTTTAAATTTGAGTTCTTAGCCTCAAAACTGTTCTCTCCATATGTTGTTGTAATGATAAGTCTTCTGTACCTTTCAGGAGTGCCTGAAGTTGGCAAATTTTCTTTATTATTGGAAAGGACCTAAGAGAATAGTTAGAAGTATGTTTTTGGATGCTGTTGTGTTCAAAATGTTATCTCTAGGAAACTTGAGGAAGTGGGTATAATTTCAATTTCTAGATATAAAAGGTGAGTGTAAGGTCCTCTGAAGGAATGGTTTTCCAAATGGTAAGATGAGCTTTACTGTGTATAGTTCTAATGACTTATGGATGTATCTACTGGGCCAACAAACTAATCCATACTAATTGGACAGAGGTGGAATGAGTAATGGATCAGGAAGATCACCCTGCCCATCAGAATCACTAATGTTTGGATTATCTCTTTTATCTCTGTCTCTGCATAAACTTCAGTATCATTGTGTGTCTTTTTGTTTTGTTTTGTTTTTGAGTTGGGGCCGCAATGCAGGGGAAACAATGTATTCTCCAGATCATCTTAAGGCAGTGTATTTTAAAACTCTCTGTTATCTTCAATTTCAGAGAGCAATATAACTGACATTTTTCAGTCCAGTGGCTGTCTTTTCTTTTTTTTCCTTGGGTCTTAAGTCACCAAGTGCTTTCCCCAAGGTCATCATCTATCCGGAAGGAGCCTTATTTAGAACATACAGTGTGTGAGCTTTTAATTGCTTCCTTAGAATCTAAACCAGGCATTTCTCTTAAAACCCATGGCTATCCAGTTCAGTTGTGAAGAAAGGAAAAACAGAATTGTCCTTTTATTTTTTTTAATTACTAAAGCCTTTTATAGCTAAGAACTATGCAATAACAAATCTAATATAGATAAAAAGAGAAGGTCAAATAGAAAGCTTAATGGTTTGAACTCATGTTTTTTCCTGTGGGAAGCCTGGGTTTACTCCCAATACTGAAGAATTCTTCAAGTATTGCAGTGAGTGATCTCCCAAGCCTTCAACTGGGCATAGCCTCCGAAACACCAATGGATGTGTCCCTAAAACAAAACAAAAAGAAGAGAAAAAATCGATTAAATAGCAGCACAACTTTCTATTTTTTTTCTCAAAATACTGGAGGATGGACTGGAGAGTGCTGGGGTTAGGGCACTTGTTTTGCATTTGGCCACCCCTGATTTTTGATCGTAGACACCATAACTCTGAGCATTGTCATGGGACCTCCTAACACAGAACTGAGAGTATACCAAGCATCCCTAGGGTTTACTTTAACAGCCCACCACCATATATAAGAATAGGATGGAATGGTCTCATAGATTAAGTAGAAAAATCTGTTCTATTGCATCAAAATTGATTAAACCGTTTTTAAGTTTTATGTATATTCTTTTTCCTTCCCTGAATTGTTATCATGTCCTCTATGCACAATTTATTGATGTTTCTTCTTTCATATGATTTCCTTTATTTGCATATGAGATGAAATAAATAACATCAGTCCATTTCATTTTGTAGATAAATTGAATTTAAAAAATGGATAGGGGCTGGAAGATAGCACAGAGGTTAGGAACTATGCCTAGCATTCGAGTAATGCGTAATCCAGGTTTGATTGATTGCCAGCTCCACCTGGATCTCCCAACCCTACTTTATTTTTTTTAAATTGCGGTACTGTGATTTACGCTATTGTTAATTATGGCTTCCCGTGCACATAATTCTATACCACACTCATCACCATTATACCCACCTCCCTCTCCTCAAGATCCCAACATACCTCCCTTTCAATCTCCCCCAATTCCCACAAACAGTTTTGTGGGTCAGTTCTCTCCTTGTGCTGCCACAAACAAAGGCTGTTTCCAGACTTTGTGATATTTACTGGCGTGGATGATATCTAAGAATTGTTTTGACTTGCTTCCCCCTAATCATCAATGAAAGATGAGCACTGTGTCTATATGCTTTTTGGCTGTCTTTATGTTTTCGTTGGGAAAGTATCTACTCCTCTCCATTTTTGTATGCTGTTTAATTTTTTGTTGTTGATTTTATTTTTTGTTGTGAATGCTTTCTAGATCTTGGATATTAACCCAGATTTAATTTAAAGCGTGTAAATATTCAAAACCACTGTGTCACTAGAGATAATCCTTTATATTTTTATTTGAAATGAACGATTACAATTTTTTTGAGGGGGCCTCCCAGGCAGTGCTCAGGAGGCTGGATACCCATCCCTGTGAGGCTTCTTGACCAAATAGGCCAGAATGTTTGTGTGAAAGCTCCATGATGTGGTGCTACTCAGAGTCCACAGTGTCAGGGATTACCCAGGCCACCCACATGGCACTTGAGGGCCTCCAGGACCACCTGACTGTTCTCTCAGGCCTCCAGGGCTCCAGCTGGCAGTGCTCATTGGTACCATGTGACTCCAGTCATCAAAGAATGATTCGATGTATGTAAGACATGCATTTTAACCCCTATAACATATCTAATCTTTTAAAACAAAACTTTGATATTATATAGGACAGCAAGTGCTATATGTAGAATGGCTAAAAGTTGTGATAGGCTTTTAAAATAATAAATGTCTAATGTTAAAAATGTTATTGAAATTAGCTCTTAAGGGATAAAATTAACTTTATCTTATAAAATAGCACATATCTTGATCTTAAATATCTTTAGTTTCTGATGTCTTTTTCTTTCAAGAGTTTTGATAGTAAATAGTCAGGTAATTGAGTCTCAATATGTTTAGTGGTTTCAGAAGAGATATCAAGATGGAGAATAAATTTTAGGGAGTTGCTGGAGCGATAGCACAGCAGTAGGGCGTTTGCCTTGCACGCAGCCAACATGGCCGACCCGAGTTCGATTCCTCCGCCCCTCTCGGAGAGCCTGGCAAGCTACCGAGAGTATCTCGCCCGCACGGCAGAGCCTGGCAAGCTCCCCGTGACGTATTCGATATGCCAAACACAGTAACAACAAAGTCTCCAATGGAGACGTTACTGGGCCCGCTCGAGCAAATCGATGATCAACGGGAGGGCCTTTACTTACTTACTTTACAATTTCTAAGTTAATGTCGAAAGATTAACTATGTGTTGGGCAAATATTATAGGGAAATTAACTATGTATTAGGCAGGTAATCATAGGAAAAGTACTTTGCGTAAAAGTAATTGTTAACATCTTAATTTTTTCATTAATATATGTTTCTTCCTATATTTTCTTAAGAGATTTTATGGTGCATATGTTTTAGATATCTTCTCAAGTCCCTCGTATTTAGTTTCTTACTAATTTTATATTACATGTGACTATCAGACTGACTTACTATTTTTCTTATGAAATTGTTGTCTTAACATCGAATCAAACTTTGTATAAGGTTGCATATATGAAATATGTATAAAATACATGTACATATATGTTATCTTTCATTTATTTTATATTTCAAATTTACCAACTTAAATTCAGCAATTAGAAGATGATTTTGAGAAAATTCAATTTATACCAAATTACATCAGGCAAAGGTCTTTTATATCTCTATAATCCTATGTGATTTCTATCTCCTGGCACTCAGGTTGGGAAATCTTTACTCTAAACTGTGTCTTTTGCCTGTGTCTTTCAGAGTGACACTTTAAAAGAATCCATGGTCTTGTCTTATAGTCCAATTAAGAATTATAGTCAATTTAAAGGTGTGTGTGAAGCAAGAGATCTGTTCACTTATCCAAGTTTCCACCCTTCTTGTAGTAGAATGATAGAGTGATAACATTTGGGAAACAATGATTTACAGATTTTCTTTCCCTATTGATCTGGCACAAGGTCAACCAGATGGTCATCAGTCCTATGGGAGACTGCACTTCAGATGTTATTAATTAGTTACATTTCTCCTTTACTAAATCTTGCATGCTAAGAAAACTGTAATTAGATATTACATTTGGTAGTTTTCAAATTTTTTCGTTTTTGCCAAATAGATTTTCAAATGAATAAAATCATGATTCAAATGCTTTTGGTTTGTGTTGAACTTTCGTTGAAAGAAATCTAGTAATTTGATTCATATCTCATGAGTTATTGTCATTATTTTCTCCAGAAAAAATAATTTCAATCTATGAGTCATAAAATCAACGCACCCAGATCTGTGATAGACAAAAACTCATTTTTCTTTCTAGGATATAAAAGGAAAACTTTGCTGAAAATATTCTCTTCTATCTAGTAGTGATTTTAGTACATATTTTACTAAGAAAATACTCTGTAATTTGATAAAATATATCTATTTCTTGTAGTTTTCATAAAAGTTTTCTGAATTTCAGAGAAGTGGAGATATTGTCTATATTGAAATGGATGTGAAGATGTAAAAGCCGAATAAATGTTAAAAATTACTGATTAAAATGAAATAAATTTTAATGAAAAGAGCTCTTTCTCAACTATAAATTTAGATTGTACATATAAACTTTTAACATTTATAAAGCTTTTAATAACATTATTTTATCATCACTACATATGACTGTAGGATCTGTACTAGTTTTAATTTCCAATTTAATAAGCTACATTTGCTACATTTGGCTATTGTAAATAGATGAGCAGTGAACATAGTTATGTATATATCTCTTTAAATTAATATTTATGTTCTTGGGTACCAAAGACTGGAATTAATGGAATTACTAGATCATATAGTAGCTCTGTTTTCAATTTTT